ATCAATTAATTTATTATTTTAAGGCGATCAAACAACAATCTTTAATTAATTAAAGTTCTTTTAAACAATAAAAATAATGGTGATTTAACTAAGTTCTCGGGAATTTACCACTTCTCTTTTCTAGATCTCCGTTTAGAACACTTATGGACTCCTTCTTGTTGGGGAACCTCCACCGTAGTTACAAAATATCGAAGAGGGTGAGTGTTTAGGACAAGAGGGTTTGGATGCATAAGTTCACAAGTATTCTGCCAGAGTTTAGGTTAATTTTCTATGTGTTGAAGCCTCGGAATAGGGTCTTATTTATAGGGAATGATTAGGTTTAGGGTTTAGAGCATTCTACCGCAGCAGGTGTCGCGCGCAACTGAGTAGGTTGCGCGCGGCTGTCGCGCGCAAGTGAATAGGTCTCGCGCGGTATACGCGCGCAACTATTTGTCTTGCGCGAGCTCTATGGTAAGATTCGATTTTCCAATATTTTAATATTCTAAATTTGACGCGAGCGCATCTCTGAGAGTTGCGCGGCCTGCCGCGCGCAACTTAATAAGTTGCGCGCGACTGTTGAGCGCGACTTTGTGAGATGCGCGTGATATTTTCCGCGACAGCTTTTATTTTAACCTGGACGCACCTAAATCCGTTATTATTGGGTTTTAAGCACGGGATTAAGCCTAATTATGATCGGGTTTAGTTAATTTGGACCTTGTGTTGGCCTTGTTCTTTTATCTGGGCTAGTCTTTTGTGTTTTGTGGCTTAACCAGTTATTTATAAGCATTCTTTAATTTGATCCAACACGAAGATGGTTTTTTTTTATCGTCGTTGAACTTCCTCTCGGGATAGGATGCTAAAAGTAGATGTCTAAAATATCCAACAAAGACAAAAGGTTTAGCTTTATCAGCAAGCTTTGATCTCTTCACCTTAGATGAAGATACATAACATAGACACCTAAAAGTTCTTAGGTGATCTAGATTAGGAAATATCTTGTGTAATCTGAAATAAGGTGTTTCATAAGAAATTGCCTGGAGAGGCATTCTGTTTATCAGATAGGTTTCACATAACACACACTCACCCCAATATCTATTAAGAATCTTTGATTGTATGAACAATGCTCTTGCAGTCTCAAGTAAATGTTTATGTTTCCTCTCCACAACCCCATTCTATTATGGTGTATCACTGCAACTGGTATGACTCAAAATGCCCAAATTGTGATACAAAACCTTCATATCTCCTTCACACAACTCATTAGCTTATCTGACCTAACACATTTCACCTTAGCATTGAACTGTGTAAGAACCATATCAAAGAAGGATTTCAAGATAGAAACTGCATCATATTTGTGTTGAAGTAAATGAACCCAAGTATACCTAGAAAAATCATCCACTATAGTCAATATTTGATTACAACCTGATGGAGTCTTTACAAAATGTGGACCCCAAACATCTATGTGCAACAACTCAAAAGGAGAGGTTGTTTGAATTGAACTAACTGGAAAAGAAGTTCTAGTTTGCTTAGCTTTTGGAAAGACTTGACAAATAGTGTCCAGTATACAAGGTGTGATATCATAAGTAGGAAAATCCTTATTTAACTTAGCAAAGTGCAAATGACCAAGTCTAAGATGTAACAACTTAGCATCATTCACAGCTGCTAAACAAACTGCATTACACTGGTGTTTATTCTTAACAAATTTCTCATCACTTCCTTCCTGATCTTCAACTTTGTATAGACCAGCCTTGAGATTACCAAGAAGAATTGACCTCCCTTTCTTAGTGTGCACAAAGCATTTGTCATGAGTAAAATACAACTCACAATGCATGTCTTTACACAACTTGTGAACATAAATCAAGTTATACTTAAATTCTGGCACAAAAAGAACATTATGCAAGATAATATCATCTGTTAACTTGACACTACCAACCTGTTTGACTGGTATCTTACTACCATAAGGTATGGTAATGTAAACATCAGAGTAAATATCAGGCTTAATTTAAGAGAAAAGAGTTATATCAGAGCAAAAATGATCAAATGCACCATTGTCTAAAAGCCATTTAGTTTTAGAACAGGAAAGAAAGCAGAAAGAGCCTGTACTTGCCATCATAGCATGTCCAGGTGTGTTTACACTTGTGCTGGCATCATTTGTGTTCTGCTTCTGTGCATTCATTAGACTTGCAAACTACTTATATTGATCTGTAGTAATTGTCTTAGTTTGACCATCATCAATGTCCATATCTTCAGATTCTGAGCAAGAGAAAGTAGCAACTCTCTTGTTCTTAAAACCCTTGAACCCTGGAGGATATCCTTTCAGCTCAAAACACCTCCATTTGCATTTCTGTAGCCAGTGTTGTTTTGAGCTTTCTGGAAATTGCCTTGTTTCTGAAAGTTACCCCCATTCTGTGGCTTGTAAGTCCCGTTCTTGCCAAAATCATTGTAGTATTTCTTCTCTGCAGCAAATGCCAAAACATTATGCTGAGTAGTCATGTTAGAAGTCTCCTGATGCTTCTCTTCCTAAGCAAACATCCTATATGCTTCAGTCACTTTTGGCAAGGTCTGCATCATAAGTAAATTGCCTCTGATGGTTGCATATTGAGCTGAAAGCTTCATCATAAACTATATAACCATTTTCTGTTGATGCTGCTCAAAGACTCTCTTAGTGAGGTTACAAATGCAGTTGTTGCATGTGCAATAAGGTAAGGGTTGAGCCTCATCAATTGCATCCCAAACTGACTTAGTTGTAGTGAAAAACTCAATTGCAAACTGAGAACCTTGAGAAATTTCAGCCAACTTCTGTTGTAATGAGTATATCTGAGCAAGTGATGTGTATCCACATCTTTCCTCCAAATTAAGCCATATTTCTCTAGCTGCTCTCATGAACATAACATTGCTAGCAATGCTCTCTTCTAGATTAAACTAGATCCATGAGCAAACCAGGTCATTACACCTTTCTCAAGCCTTATACTCTTCACTGAGAACATCAGTAGGTCTAACATATGATCCATTGACAAATCCTACTTTGTTCTTAGCTGATAGAGTCAACAACATAGATCCTTTTCTGCTAGTAAATCTATCACCACTAAACTTGACCGAAACTACCTGAATTGAATTAGCATATGAAGGATGTATGTAATAAATGCTAGCAGGATTTCGATTCAAAGGAAGAACTACATTATTCTAGTTTCTGGTGTTTTCTTGATTTCCAGCCATGATTCCTCAAGAAATTTAGGTCAAATCAATTGAATTCAAGATCTCAGTTCAGAATCAATCGTCAATCAGAACAAAAAACTGATTAAGAATTTTCTAAATTCCAGCGGTTTCAAAGAAATTTAGCAAAGTACGCAGCAATTTTTTGAACAAAAACTTCACTCAACTACACCGATTCAATTACTGAGAGGAAACTAATGAACTCTGAACAAATTGAAACAAAGAAATTTCTGGAACTAGATTTTGAAATGAAAAATTCAAGAATCAAACTACTGAATCACGCAATTAATCAGAGAAACACAAAGTACCTGCTTTGATACCATGATGAAATCTGAAACTCCATTGATGAAGAGAAGAAGACAGAGCTAAATAAGAACGTTTTTCCAATTTGAGCTCTAAACGTAAACTAATGACAAAAATGGTTGCGTGGCAAAACTATTTACCAAACTAAGCTTCCAGGGTAAATCGCTGTCTCGGACAGCGTTTTACCCCTGGTTTTTTTTTTTTAAAAAAATTCAACTTCAACTATTTTATATGTTCAACATAAAGCGCTGTCTCAGACAGCGCTTTATGCTTGAACATAAAACGCTGTCTCAGACAGCGCTTTATGCTTGAACATAAAGCGCTGTCTCAGACAGCGCTTTTCTGCTGGAAACAGCAACCAGCATCCAGGCAGAAAACAAGCTTCAGCAAACAGCTTGCATGCTGCAGTCCTCCAACAGCCACCACAACAGCCAGCTCCACAGCCCTACCCCACCACCGTCGACCACCAACTCCGCCACTCCCCACCACGTACCACCACCATATTCTAGGAGTTCCGTCAACTTTAAGCACTGCAGAAAACTCGAAACAGCCCAACAACAGTCCAACCACCAAATTAACTTCAAAGCACACACGGAGTCATTCAAAAAAGATTTATTATATTAATTTCATAAGTGTTATGTACATCATTACACAAAATAACAGGGAATACAACAGATAATACTAGCCCGAGATGAGGAAGAACAAGTACGCCCGGGCGTATCTCTGAACCTGGGCGTCATCAGCCCCTGGTGGTAGCTCACGGAAAGTCTCACGGACCCAGCCGGTCCTCAACCCGGATCCCCTAATATCGGCGGGACCTGGCTGGACACCAAGTACCCGACCAACCAAACCGACGGGATCGACTAACGCGTGTCCTGTCACCGCAGACCCATGTACTGGAAGGCGCGTAAGAATCGCCACGTCCCGTAACGTAACGGTCGTCTCACCAACAGGTAGGTGGAAGGAGTGCGTCTCCTGTCTCCACCTCTCCGCGAGCGCAGTGACAAGCGCTCGATCGATCTCCCTATACGCCATACGGTGAAAACCACCTAAACCGACAAACTCGACGTACGCCAAAACGCGAGGATCGATTCCCCACCCCACCATGAACCTGGTGGTGTAATGCCTGCAAACGAGCTGCTTTGCCGGATCAACCTGTTAGAAAGAAATTAAGATCATATACCATATAAACTCAACAAGCTGTAGTCCATGAACAAACAAATGCAATATTACCGTCTGATCCCATATCGGCAACGCTGCGGTGTGTGCCCTGTAGTGTAAGCACAGAAGGGTCAACGGGTCCAGGCGTACGATCTTCACCGTCCATCGTATCTGTTCACATGCAATTTAACAAATCCCAACAGAGTTAACGCATTAGCAATTAACCAAAATGTTAACGATCAAATGTTCCAAATGTTATTAAATCAAAATGTTCCAAATGTTATTAAATCAAAATTTTCTATTACAAAATAATTCCTTCATCTACGATTACAACGAATTTCAGTTAACAGTCATGGGTCCTCTGAGGGTCTCGATGGACACGTTGCCCGGTTATGGCCCTGAACGTGACAACGACTACATTTGCTCGCGGGCCGGTTAGTCTCATCCATTTCATTACGTATGCGCTTTGACCTTGGTCGCCCTATTCCACGCAACATGCTCCCGTCGGGAATGATTCTGGGACCGTTATAGGGCGTCCAGGTTGTCTCGCAAGGGATTGGCCAGAATTGCGGCGCGTATGTGCTCGTGTATGCCTCCGATTGCAGCACCGGGTCAACCCACGGCCGCTCTGATAGTGAGTACGTTGCACATACGGCTAGAACGTGAGAACATGGGAGGTGAAATATCGTAGGTTTGTTGCAGGTACACGTTCTTAACTGAAAGTTAACAGTATGTTTATGGCCTCCTTTACTACCAAGTCGGTCTCCCCTTTCTGTTGTAACTTGGTAAATATGCAATCGACGGTTATACGCATCCACTCTGTGATATCTGGCTTTTGCGGTGTTCTTCTCTAGAATGGCAGTGACCTTGGGGGGGTATGCAAGTCCCTGTTCAAATCTTGCCTCAGAAGACTCCCTTCTCAAAGTGAAATATTTGTTAACTCTATGAAAAGTTAACTCGACTAGGGACATGATCGGTAGAAACCGTGCTCCCTTCAACACGTTGTTGAATGTCTCAGAGAAGTTAGTAGTGCAAATCCCGTATCTACGTCCAACGTCGTGAAAGAGGGACCACATGGTGAACGGAATTTGAACAATGTACTCCATTGCCTTGGTACACGCCTCACTAATGAAACACAGATCGCCGTGTAGTTTTCTTTCCTGCCTTTGGTACGCCGTAGCCTTGAACATATCTCTCATGTCGTTTCGTCGCACGTGAGTCTTCAAGTTAGAAGCTATGTGGCGAACACAAAATCTGTGATAGGCTCGCGGCTCGGTAAATCCAACGTTCGGATCAGTCATTGCTGCAATGATCCCAGGATGTCGGTCAGATATAACACAAAGGCCATCTCGTTGAGTGACATGAACCCGAATGCAACCCAGGAACCAAGACCAGCTGGAGGTGTTTTCCCCCTCAACCAACGCAAATGGTAGAGGAAATACTTGGAAGTTTGCATCAACACTTGTAGCAACCAACAGTGTTCCTTTGTACTTCCCGTACAAGTGCGTCCCATCGATACAGATAACTGACATACAATGTTTAAAACCGTCGATACAAGGGCCAAACGCCCAAAACACTCTTTCAAACACTTCCATGTTGCTGTAGTAAACACCGTCAACCAACGCTTTGTACTTCCACACAACACACGTTCCCGGGTTTGACTGTTGGAGGGCTTGCATGAAGTGCGGAAGTCTGCCGTAAGAACTCTCCCAATCACCGTAAATATCAGCTATTGCTTTCCCCTTTGCATACCATGCCCTCCGGTACGGGACATCGAAATGAAATTGCTTGGAGATGAGTTCTTGTATGAATTCAACTTTCAAAGACGGATCTTTCCGAACAAAGGACTTCACAAAACCTGACTGAACCAAGGAATGGGAGTTCTAACCAGGGGCTCGCCCACTTCCATCCGAGCAGGTTCTACATCCATGTTCTGAAGTCCATCTTCCTCCTCTCCGCTATCGGCCTCATCATTTGTGTACACTTGAACCCCATTGCCGGTCTCAAACCTCATTTTAATGTGTACGTCAACGGTCATCGGGTCTGAACCAATACTACTATGAACCTCATTCATCAAATCATTCATAGTCATGTTCGGTTCTAGTGTTAGTGGTTCCATATTTCCCCCACTATACTCGACCCGGGGTCCATCAAACAGAATTTCTCCTCCCCACCGGCATAACAAAACTACATTTTGTGACGCCATATTCTACATAACCAAAACACATTTTAGGATTATCGAAATCTAGAGCGAGGTAAATTATCAACACTGAAATAAGACTCTTCTCACCTATAACAACTTCACTTTCAACAACTTCACCAATTTCAACAATTTCATGAACAATTTGAATTATTTCAACAATTTCAACCTAAACTATTTCAATAATTTCAACAATTTCATCTCTTCTCACCAATTTCAACCATTAACAACTTCAACATTTTCACCATCATCAACTTCACCAATGTCATGAACAATTTCAATAACAATGTACCACATCACCATCAATATTTATCAACAATGTACCACATTTTCATTAATAATTAGCAACAATTACATGCAATTGACATGAATTAACAACAAGTAAGAGCAATTACATACAATTCACAATAATTAACCACAATAACTATGCAATTACACTAAATTCAGTTTAGGGCTAACCACGAAATTGAGTGAGTGAGTGTGAGAGGGAGGAGGGCAGCAGCAAGGTGGCGGCAGCAGCGGTGGCGCAAGGGTGGGCGGCGGCGGCAATGCGGGTGTTTGAGTACGGTCGTGGTTTAGTGTGAGAGGGAGGAGGGAAAGCGTTGAGGTTGAGGTTGAGTTCTTGCGCATTCTGCTGAAGTGAACATGCTGATATATGGCCATGAAACGCTGTCCCGGACAGCGTTTCATTTAAAAAAAAAAAAGGGCATAAAACGCTGTCTCGGACAACGTTTTACCCATTGAATTTTTTTTAAAAAAAACCCAAGGATAAAACGCTGTCCGAGACAGCGTTTTATGCCCTACTGAATTTAAAAAAATACAGAAGGTAAAACGCTGTCTGGGACAGCGTTTACCAGTTGAATTTTTTTTAAAAAAAAAAACCAGGGGTAAAACGCTGTCCGAGACAGCGATTTACCCTGGAAGCTTAGTTTGGTAAATAGTTTTTGCCACGCAACCATTTTTGTCAATAGTTTACGTTTAGAGCTCAAATTGGAAAAACGTTCGCTAAATAAGCTTTTCAGAGAGAATTTTTATTGTTTTGTAATATTTGTGAATAATACAAAAGCATGAGAAAACCTCTATTATAGGCGTCGTTCAAAGTGCGTCTACATTAAAAGCATGTTGTGAATATGCTTGGCACTCATAGGAAGTGGAGATTGACATATACGATTAGGGACAGCGATTAGGGACAAGGAAAGTAGGGAGCCGCCAACATGTTTTTAAGGAACTTGTAAACCGTTTACGGATCATAAAAAGGCAACCACGATTAAGGGACAACGATAGGAAACAACGATTGACTCGTGAAGGTTACACCCCATTCATAATCCATGAGGTTACTAACTTCATATGGTTCGAAACCACGAAAGGAGGATCGGGGATGATGGTACGAAGTGAGTCATGGAGTCACATTCGCCCGTATTGGCCTCTACTCGATTCTTATAGTGAAAATTGATTAATGCGATCTCAAAGGCATGCAAACAACGATTCAATTTGCTCCAAACTATTATTATGCTAAATTGGTTTAATATTAATGAAACATATAATTCTAAAATATTAGTGATCACAAGATTAAAAAGGAACCTAAACCGGTCATCTAAATTATCTTAGTAGGCGTGATTTTCAATTACATATTCCCTTTAACATGCAATATGGTGATCAATAAAATTAATAAAATAAACATTAATATTGGAAGAAATTTAACAATAATAGCGTTAGTTAAATCAAATATAAAATAACCTAATGATGATGCTAGCAATATTAAAATAAAATAAGAGTAATTAAATTAATTAATTACTCACATTCCGCGCGTTCCTTAAAGTTGCTACATCATGAATAAATTGTTATTAACTTCAATAAAAAAAAAATGTAAATCAAATGAAAATTAAATTAAATGAATGTAGATTTGATTTGGTCCAAACCCTCGGTTATTTGTACCTTTCACGCCTTAGTTTAAGGTCGGAACCTCGGGTTAAGTATGGACTCCTTGGAGCGCTTAAGGGAAGAATGGTGTAATTAGGAATATAGGTTTAAGGCTTAGAATATGGGAGAGAGAGAAAATTGAATGATTTTTGGTGTAAAAGAGAGGAAGAGAGAATGATTTCATGCCCCGAATTGCAGAAAGGGGGGGGGGGTCGTATTTATAGGGAAAATGAACAGAGGGAACACACGGAACCCTAAAAAGATAAAAAAAAACCCTTAAAATTAACACAGCAACACGGCAGAGAACACCGTGACACGGCGCTAGGCACTGTGAGATGGGGAAAAATCCCGTGACGCGGGGAAAATTGGAGCGACGCGGGACATATTTGACCTATGGGAAGTGAAAACACGTGAAGGATTTACGCGGAAAATACACGAAAATAGCACCATGACACGAAACGTTACACCATGTCACAGTACGACAGTGTCCACCATGGAACGGTACATTACACCATGTCACGGTATGGGAAAACGCGGAAATTACACGGAACTGTGACACGGTGAGAAATACCGTGTCACGGCAGCAGGTACCGTGTCACGACATCAGCTACCGTGCCACGGTGGATTTTCACATGAAAAAGCTTCCAAAATAGCACAGTGACACGATGTAAACTATCGTTTCACGGCACCAGGCACCGTGCCACGTCATCAGGAGCCGTGACATGGTGCTTTTATATTGTCTGCGGTAATTCCAGTTTTTTACCCATTTTTAAAATCATCATAAAATTTGATCCGTAACTCAAAATAAGGCATGTAATAAATTATTGGAAAGAATATCAAGTATACTTTCCAATCCAATTAGAATCCGGTAAAAATAATTTGTATATTTTAAGATATGTTCGTTTTAGTAGAAGGGTGTCGGTTTTAGGCCGAGTTTAGTGTTTTGCTCATATCTTCTTCATTTTAAATTGGAATTGGGCTTATGATATATGGTTGGAAAGCTTATTTCAATACCTATCCAACCGAATAATAATTGGATCAAAATTTTGGGCCAAAAATTCAATTTCTCTCGGTTTTGCAATGTGGACACGAAAAGAGGAAAACAAGTTATGATTTAGGGAAATGAGCTAGGAAATGAATTTGTTTATGAAATTTATTGAATAGAACATGGATTTAAGCACTCCAAAGATTAAATACTCAACCCGACAATAATGGTGGTGAAATATTGTTCATCATCGGGTTTGGTTTCGGGGAGACATTTTTAGGTGTCTACATCTATATATATAGAGATAAAACAGAAAATAGAAATAAGTTTGTTATAAAAAACTTTTAACAACCTTGCCACATCAGCAAAGGATTAAAACAAACTCCTAGAGAACAATCTAGAAATATCTAGAATCAGCAACATGCCTTATGCTGTGATGTATGCTCGAGCTGATGTATAGAGTTCTGATAAGTGCATACTCCAAAACTGATTTCAAAGTCATGTATAGTAACCTTTTTCTTATAAAAAAATTATTGGGAAATTTTCTTTGGTCATGTAGTTTTTTATTTTGTCAGTGGTAAATTGTAAAATTTCTTATTATCCTTGTTAGACTGCAATTACTTATACTAATCCATTGGTGACATAAATGAAATCATAAGCTTAACCCTACTTAACTAAAGATTTAAATACTAATTTAACCATAATACTCCATTCTAGATTTCCCTCCAAAATCCTTCAACCCAAACTACTGCCCGAGCAACCAGAACTACTGCCCAACAACCATAAAAGTCGTCGCCATCATCACCAGAAACACCACCCAACCATCGACACCACCACCATCAACCGACCCAACTTCACAGCTCACCCGAATCGCCCTAAACCAACATGGAAAAAACTTTCCTCCCTGAAAAACACCACATCGAAAATTCCCTAAACCCTCCCAGCTTCAACGACGTGATAAAAGGAGAGAGAAAATCATCACATCTTCAATCACCTTCTACCGGCAATTTCATGGTAATGACAATTAGAAATCCATCTTCTTCTTCTTCTTCTTCTTCTTCTTCTTCTTCTTCTTCTTCTTCTTCTTCTTCTTCTTCTTCTTCTTCTTCTTCTTCTTCTTCTTCGTTAGATCTGTAATTTCTACAATTTTCGCTCAATTCAATTGATGATCAACCTAATTTCCCCAAATTCAATTGCAAGAATCTTATTCAATTTTTTAGACTTGATTTTCTAATTAATTTGAAAGATAATATTTAGTAATTTACCTTAAATTCAATCCTAAGTACAACACAAAGGAAATTAACACAATTCGAAGGAGGAATTGCAAAAATTGGGAAGATTTAGAGCCGAAATTCAACGAATTTTGTTTAGGGAGGAAAGATTGAGGATTTGAGGGATTATTTGGGGATGGGGTGGTTGTTCAAGAGGAAGGAGAGACAAGGAAGGGGTGGGGGAGGTCGGCGCACTAGCGAAGGAAAGGCTAGGCACTGACGTTGGCATGGGTGGGGGCAGAGGAGAGGTGGCTGTCAATGAGCGAAGGTGGCGATTGGGTGAGAGCTTGTTCGAAAAGTGAGAAAGGTAAGAAGGAAGAAAGAGAGGAGGATGAAGATGATGATCATGATGATGACTTACAGGCTGGATTTGAGTAAGGATATTTTAGAAATTTGAGTATATTGAGTGTATTAAGTGAGGACATTTTAGGAATTCCAATTTTTTTATTTTAAAAAAAAATGTTCACCATAGTTATGCTCTCACTAAAGTGTTTCATTAAGTCACCATTGAATAATTATAATTACTTAAATTTTATCAAGGATAATAAGAATTTTTTCAATTTACCACTTGTAGACACCTAAAAATGTCTCCCCAAAACCAAACCCGATGATGAACAACCTTTCACCGCCACTATTGGTCGGGTTCAGTATTTAATCCCGAGGGTGCTTAAAAAATCGTATTTTATTAAATTCATATTTTTGAACAATCCATGGAT